GGCTGGAGAGCCGGGAGAGGCTGCTCAGAGCTGGCCCGGGCACTTGGGCACCTGGGAGACAGAGCCCGGCTCGGAGCTGATACTGAGACAAATACCTGACAAATTGCAGCTGGTTTTTCTAGACACACTTCATTATTTTGTATTTTCTCAACGTGAGTTTTTATTAGGGAACATTTTCAATGTTCATTTTACTTTATTTTTTACCCTTTAGAAAGAGTTCCGTTGTATTTTGTTATGTGCGAGGAGGAATGTGCTGGGAAAGGTTGTGGGTAATGGAATTTTTTATTCAATATATTTTCAAATCTGAGATGTGACAAGTCCAGACTTTGACTCCAGCAGCAGTGTCTGGTTCCAGACTGCTCTGCTTTTCACAGTGACATCTCAGTTCATTCAATTCCAGCGTTCAAAGCCCTTGAAACACGAAAAAGCTGGGAATCAGGTTAAAGCCCTTGGAGGGTTTGCTCTATCCGTACATTCCACGTCTCCCCTGGTGTCTGTTCAGCCTCTCCACTCCTGTCCTAGAGCACATTGCTGTATCCAGAGTGCAGTACATGCTTTTATAGATAGATAGATACATGTGATTATTGCATACACGATTCTCTTGCAGTGAGTTATTGTGATGGTAATTCCATGATCCTCTGCTTTGTGCCCAAAGAATGGTTATTGTATCTAAACCCCGGCAGCCCGGGAGGGGATGTGTGCGGGGCCGGGGCGGGGAGAGGCTCCTTGTTCGTTCCGCGGGCGTTTTGAAGCCTCGCTGACTCTGTGCACCGTGGGGTTTTGCTCGGCTCGAAACCCCCCGGTCCAAGCTCGGACAATCTGACCGGTGGTTTGCCCGGGAAATGGCTCTGGCGACTTTTATGGAGAGAGACGGCTTTGATCCGATTGTTCCGAAAAAGAACTTTAATGAGATGAAAACAGCAAACAGGAGGCGTGCACTGTACTGGGGACGAACTGGAAAAATACATGGTCCAGAGTAGAGCAAGGGTATTTATACACTTGGGTGCAGGGAGGGATTAAGGCAGGGTTTGAGGGAGAGATCCAATGGGAAAGAGCGATTAACAATATTATAATTTCTGCAGCGAAAAGGAACCAATAGTAACAAAGAGAACTGAGAACTTTCTGGTAACAATCTACACAACTGAACAGGGGGATCTTGAGAGTGAGCTTTTTCCTCCTCAAGCCTACCAAAGGGTTTTCCAATGGGTTTAGGCTGAGGTTGTCTTCGTTTCTGAGTACAACCCCGCCATAGACTCAAAAGCTTTTTTGGCATGGACAAAAAAAGGATTTTTTCCCTTTTCTTGGCTCGGAGAGGCTGCAGGGGCGAGCCTTGCCGTGCCTGGATGCGAACTGAGTAGCTGCTGTGTCGCAGCCCTGGGGCTCCGCGCCGGCAGGAGCGGAGCGGCGCCGCTGCAGCCCAAAGCCGCTGCGAGCCGGGCCGAGCCGGGAGAGAAAACAGCCCGAGGCTTCAGCCCCGCTGCTTCGCCTGCCGGGACCGTGCCCGCGGAGCCCGGCTGGGGAGGAGTTCAAGGGCAGGCGAGCTCCGGGCTTTCATCTCCTTCGGGATAGCCCGTGGTTGGTTTTTCCCCTGGGGGAGAAGCCGGCGCCACCTGTACCGCGTGTAGTGAGCAGGAATTTCTCTGGCATTTTGGATCTTTTGTCCCAGGTGTGTGTGTGGGGTAAGGTCTGAAAACTTAATATCTACCAATTATTTACCTTTCTTTTTCTTGCCTTTTGGGCTTAATGTTTGTTAATAAGCTGTTGGAGTTTTTAACTTTCATCTATTAACATTGAATTCCTATTGGTGGAAAGGGATTATTGGGACCCTGTAGAAGAGATAGCACTCACTCCAGAGTGTCCTCTTTCAAATAATCTCTCAAACTGAGACACCTTTAAAGTGCTTGGAACGTGGAATGAGCTCCAGCCAGGGCTCCCACCTGATCCCGCACCAGGAGATCCAAACTAAGGAATATCCCTGCTGGTGCTTGGAATGTGGGAAGAGCTTCATATCGAAGTCTGTCTTGGTCACCTGTCGTAGGATCCACCCCGGGGAACAGCCCGCGGGTGCTGTTGGAACTACAAGTTCTTGGAATGAGGGCACAGCTTCAGCAAGAGCTCCCACCTCATCAAAGACCACATGATCCATACCTGGGCCCTGGGAGTATGGGGAGTGAGGGAAGAACTTCTCTGTAAGCTCTAACTTGACCCAACAGAGCCACCGGTAAGGGAAGCCCTGTGAGTGCCCCGAGTGCAGGAAGAGCTTCATGCACTGCTCCAGCTCCATCCCCAATGGGAGGATCGGTGTTGGATGATCCCCAGTGACCCCCGTTCTGGGTGATCCGTTTTGGGTGGGGGGAAGGGGTTGGACAGATTTCTTTCCCTTCTCCTTGTCCTGCTGTGATTTGGTTGGTAATAAATTCCCTCGCTGTGCCCAGGCTGGGTCTGTTGTTCCCGTGCCGGTGCTCGGGGCGGGATCTCTCCTGTTCCTTCTCTCAACTCCTGGGCCTCTCCTCAGCCAATCAGAGAAGGCACCAAAATAATTGAGCCAATCAGAGCGCGCGGCGCTGATGAGTCCTCAGGCAGTCCCAGAGCGCCCAGAGCTCCTCACCTGGACTCCACCCGCGCCCTGCCCCCAGGAAGCCCCGCCAGGGGAATTTGGGGAGGGCGGAGGTATCAGACCCTGCCCGGCGCTGGCCATGGGACGAGTGGCAGCAGTTGGGGCCCTACTGGTGCCACTGGTGGTGCTGGGAGCTTCCTCGGCTGCGGGCGCGGAGCTCTCGGGTGAACAGGAGGGGCGGGAAGGGAAATGGTGGGAGCGGTGGAGCGTAGAGAGAAAAGTGGGACCCTCAAATTGATGCGGGCTGGTGCTGGCGACTGAGGAGTTATGGGAAAGAAGGAGGAAATTGTGGACAAGGGTGGAAAAGAGGAAGTGGGACCGAGAGGAGAAGGGTCCTACAAGGGTTGGCCGTGGGGCACTGGGGGTGCAGAGTGGGGACACAGGGTGGCTCTCTGAGCTCTTGGCTTGCTGTGGGGGGCTGCTGAGGGGTCACCGCCTGACCTGTGTCCTGCACACACAGCGCTGTTCCAGGAGATGGTTAAGTCCGAGTGTCACTTCATTAACGGCACCGACCGGGTGAGGTTCATGAAGAGGTTCATCTACAATCGGGAACAGTACGTGCACTTCGACAGCGATGTGGGCCACTTTGTGGGGGACACCCCATACGGGGAGAAGGTTGCCAGGTACTGGAACAGAGATCCGGAATGGATGGAGTACAGACGGGCTGCGGTGGACAGGCACTGCCGGCACAACTACGAGTTGTCCAGCCCGTTCCTTGTGGAGCGCAGAGGTGAGCGTGGGGCGGAGCGTGTCCCCTCGGGCCCTGCCCTGGGAATGACCCTGGAGCCCCTCAGAACCTCCCTGGAAATCACTCCAGAGCCGCCAGCCCTCCTTGCGCCCATGCCCGTGGCCTCTTGCCCCCTTCCAGTTACTTCCGCGGCTCTCCCAGTCCATCCCAGCCCGTCCATCCCGGCCGTGGGTGGAGCTGCCGCCCCTTAGCCAATCAAAGCGCGGCTCCTCGATGACTCATCAGTTGCCAGGAAGATCCGCAGCGCCGAGTGCCCCGCACTGGACTCAACCTCCCGGTGCCGCGCACTCCATTCCCAGTCTCTCCCAGTTCATTCTCATTCCATTCCCAGTCTTTCTCAGTCCACTTTCAGACCTCCACCCTCTCTTCTAGTGCTCTCACAGTGGTCCCCAAAACAGTCCCATCTCTTTCAGTGCCCTCTCAGTCTCCCCCCAGTCCCTCTCAACGTTATCCGAGCCCTCTCCCCGTATCTCCCATTTTACTCGCATCTCATCCCAGTGTGTCCCCGCTCTCTTCCAGTGCCCCCCAGTGTGTCCATCTCGCTGGTGCCCTCGAGCTCCCAGCCTGGCCCCGGCCGCCTGCTCTGCTCTGTGACGGATTTCTACCCTGCCCACATCCAGGTGAGGTGGTTCCAGGGCCAGCAGGAGCTCTCAGGGCACATGGTGGCCACTGACCTGGTCCCCAATGGGGACTTGACCTACCAGCTCCTGGTGCTGCTGGAAACACCTCTGCGGCGCGGGGTCAGCTACACCTGCCAGGTGGAGCATGTCAGCATGGAGCATCCTGTGAGCCGGCAATGGGGTACGGCTCGGCCCCCAAAGCGCCGGGGGATGGGGGGGGATGGAACTCGGGAGACTGGGAGAGGAGCTGGTAGTAGCTGGGTTTGATTGGAGGAGAGTTTGAAGGAGCCAGGGGGTAATTGGGAGAAGGGTTTGGATGGCCTGGGAGGGCAGAGAAGATATTTGGAGGGTGCTGGGAAGACTGGGATGCAGTTACAGGTTTCCTGGCGGGTACTGAGAGGGAATTGAGGATACTGGGTGTAACTGGAAGGAAGTTTGATGGAGCCGGAGGGGCTGGGGTTGTAAAAGCCTGGGTAGGAGGGAAACTGAGTGTGCTTCGATCTACTGGCAGTGGTGTTGCTAAGTTCTGGGACTGGGAAGGACTGGGAAAAGGTCTGACGGATCATTGCGGGATGGGTGTCAAATGGGAGAAAGTTTGGGGTCTTAGAGGGACGGGGAAGGGACTTGGGTGGTATTAGCGAGGTTGGATGGGGATAGGAAATGTCTTGGGTTGGCTGGAGGAGTGCGAGGATACTTGGAAGGTCTTGGGGTGCCTGTGAGGTTTTGGGGGGGTCTTGACCCTTGCGGACCCCCAGAGATGCCACCGGACGCTGCCCGTAGCAAGGTGCTGATGGGGATCGGGGGCTCCGTGTTGGGCTTCATCTTCTTGGTGCTGGGGCTCGGCTTCTACCTGCACAAGAAGGTGAGGAGGGGTCCTGGGCCTAGTGTTCCCCTTCCCTCAAAGCGTATGTGCTCTCCCTGGGCCCCCCAGCCTGATGTCACCCCCTTTTCTTTGCCCACAGATCTCCTGAGCCAGAAGCGGCCGCAGCCCCTCCCTGTGGCCTCGGGCCCGTCCGGGACCCCCCTGCTCCGTCCCCGCACTGATTTTGGGGGGGGTCTTGTCCCCTCCCAGCCCCGCTATCACTGTCCCAGCCCAGCTGCTCCGAGTGTTCCCCTTAAAGCTTCCCAGTTCGCTCCAGTCCCATTTACTGGGGGGCAGTGGGGAGAGATTTGAAGGGACCCCGCGGGGATACTGTGATGGGAGGGTGCAGAACCGGCCCAGGGATGGATCGGGAACGGGGACCCGTGTGTCTCCCCGTGTCACCCTGCTCTGGGTGCTGGGAGCCCCCCCCCGGCTGTTGGCGAGGAGCTCTTGGCTGAGGGAGGGAACAGTGCAGGGGAGATGAGAAAGGTGTTTGAGAGGGGGGACAGTGGCAAAGGGGTTCCTCTGGGAGTCCCTTCGTGTCTCCCCATCACTCGATCTCTTGATCTGTTCCCTGGAGCTCTGGGGAAGAGGGGTTAGGCAGAACCCTGCTGGGAGGTCCCAAACCGCCCGTGTCCCTCCTTGGGGAGCTCATAGTGGGGTGCCCCACCCAGCAGCCACTGCTGTGGTGGCCGTGGGGCAGAGGGGGATGGGAATGGGGGGATCCGGAGTGGTCCCTTGAGCCCCCAGCCTGCTGTGGGGTGATGGGGACTCTTAGGGGGTGACGGGAGGCACCCCTTCACCTGTCTCCTTTACCACACAGATGTGTTCCATTTTTGGGGAAAAGCCCACTGTCACTTCCTAGATGGCAATAACTGGATGGCAAAAACTGAAGTTTGTGGACAGGAACATCCACAGCTGGGAGAAATTTAGGTGCAGGGGATACCTCAAAATTTTGAGGAGGGATTGAGATGTTTTGAGGTCATATTGAGCCATTTTCAGTTGCATGGAGTAGTTTTCAGGTACCAACGATCCCTCTCGGCTTTGGGGGAGCAGAGCTATAAGGGACTGAAATGGCTCAAACCATTGGCCTTTGGCAAAAGCAGTGGGGGGGCCTTTGCTGGCCATGGGCACAGGAAGCACCCAGGGGCAGAGCGGGTGAACACCCAGCCCCGGAGGGGAGAGCCGAGCTGGGAGCCAGGGAAAGGAAGAGGCCGATCAGAAGCAGATGCTGCCAGGTGGGACAGGGCTTTGGACCAGGGCAATGCCCTCCCTTACACAGCTGGCTCAGCTCTGGAAACTCTCCCACAGGGGAAGGAACAGGACCCTCGCACAGAAGGCTGGAGGTTTTCAGCCCTTTGCATGGGCCATACCTGGCTCAGCTGCACTGCTAGGAGAGGAAGGGCCACGTCTTAGAAGGGGCCATAAACCATCAGAGCCCCCCGGGACCCACTGTGTGACATCAGACAGTGTAAAACTTCTCGTGGGGGAGGTACCTGGGCGTTCACCCAAACCGGAACCTGTATCGACTCTCAGAACTTGGTGTTTCCGGGGCTTCCCCAACCCCCAAGGGATCCAGCCTGGGACCACCACTTAGACCAAGGACAGGGACATTGTAGCAATCAAAACCAAAACTTTTGTTGCCGGATCCAGGGCTGGTAACTGTGTATCTTTCCATACTCATACTTTCTTTCTTTTCCCTGACACAATTTCTCTAGTGTTACTCTTTAATGCTTTTAATATTGACGGAGATGGTAACCAAATGGGTTCTAAACTCCCTTTACACAGAAACCAAATGGTTCTAAAATAAACCCAACAGAAAGATACTTATAAACACAGATCAGTCACTGTTGTTTCACTCTAAATTCCCCTGTCCCACAAGATCCATGAACCAGAACCTGGGTTACCCTCACCTTCAGGGACAAGGCAGAACAGAAGCTGGACATGGGAGAAGCTTCTGGAAGCTGCTCATAGAAGACACCCCTGGAGCACCCCTGTTTCCGAAACCTGATCACACCAATCCAATACACTGCCCAACACGGATAACCAGGACCACAGGTCACCAGGTCTCTGCCCTATGGGGCTCACTGTGGATCATCCAATGCTCGTCCTCCAATGGGGAATGGAGTTGAAGCAGCAGATGAAGCTCTTCCCACACTCGGGGCACTCACATGGGCTCCCTTCCCAGTGAATCCATTCGTCAAGGCAGAGCTCTGGGTGAAGCTTTCCCCACAGTCAGGACACTCCTAGGGCAGTTTCCCACTATGGATATTCTGGTGGCAAATCAGGTGGGAGCTCCGGCTGAAGTTCTTGCCGCACTCCCCACACTGGTAGGGCCATTTCCTGGAGTGGAGGCGCTGGTGGCTGATGAGGTTACACTGCTCACTGAAGCTCTTCACACATTCCCTACACCTGTAAGGCCATTCTCCCGTGTGAATTATGTGACGGTGGATCAGACAGGAGCTCTGGCACATTCCAAGCACTTCTAGGGCTGTTCCCCTGTGTGGATTTTCTGGTGCCAGATCAGGTAGCAGCTACATCTGAAGCTCTTCCCATATTGTGAGCACCTGTAGCACATCTCCCCAATGGGAAAGCACTCAAGGACCACCAGGTCAGCACTCCGGATGAAGCTTTGGGGAGCTGCATTTGGAGCCTTCCCTCGTGGGATATCTCTGGGGCTTTTCCTCCACATTGGATTCCTGTGCTGTGGAATCAATTCTTTCATGAGGTTCTGATGCAGGGACTTGTCCTCCCTGGTCTCTGTCAGAGGAAAGGAAAAAGAAAGGAAAGGAGAAAAGATGAGATGGGGGGAGGGGATGGGATGAGATGGGATTTGCCTCCATGCCAGAGGGAAAGGGAAGGAGATCCCCCCAATCTATCCCTGGCAGGACGTGCTGCTGGGATAGAGCTGGGAAGGAGGGAAGGTTGGGGGAAGGTGGTTTTAAGGGCTTAATTTATTTATTATCCTACTCTGATTTTGTTAGTTGATTTCATATCTCAAAGCTAAGCCTGTTTTGCCTGTGATGGTGTTTGGTGAGGAATGTCTCTCCCAGTCCTTATCTCAACCCATGAATCCTTTGTTACATATTTTCTCTCCCCTGTCCAGCTGTGGAGAGGAGTGAGTAAGTGGCTTTCGTGGGTGCATGGCATCCGGCCAGCATCAACCCACAACATTTGTGTTCCACCCAAAGCCTGGTCAGGGCTCAATAAGGAAACAAGGGAGTTGGCTTTGACAATATACCTTCAAACAGGGCCGATTTCATTGCCTTGACCGTTCCCTAAACATGGAAGGATAAATACATTTGTATCACATCATATATTTCACTAATGACCATTGATATTGCACTAATTACCAGATACAAGTATCATATAATGTTTGGTTGGAAGGTTCATCTAGAGATCAGCTTTGATGCGGTGCCTGTCGTTCAGGCCTCAGTACTTCAATTTCTGATGTCAGTCTGCATCCTGATAGACGTTCTTTCCCCCTGCGTTCATCCAGGTGCCTCCAGGGAACCAGGAGCAGGTGAAGACAACCAGCCAGGTGTCTTCCCAACGTGGATCATGTGGAACATGGGTCACTAGGTCTTCACCCAACATGGATCACCAGGTTTTTGCATAATATGGATCACTGTGGATAATGCAACATGGGTCCTTTAGTGGGTGATGATGTTGGAAGAGGAAACAAAGCCCTTCCTGAAGTCAGGGCACTTGTAGGACTTCCCCTACTCATGGGTCCGTTGGTGTGAAGTCAAGGCAGAGTTGTGGGAGAAACTCTTCCCACACTCGTAGAGCCTCTTCCCAGTGTGGACACGCTCATGGCTGACAAGGTGGGAGTTGCGTTTGAAGCCCTTCCCACAATCAGGGCAGCAGAAGGGCCTCTCATCCATGTGAATGCGCTGATGCAGGAGGAGATGGGAGCTGGTCCGAAATCTCTTTGCACACTCGGGACACTCGTAGGGCTGTTCTCCACTGTGGATCTTCTGGTGCTGGATTAGGTCTGAGCTGATGCTGAAGCTCTTCCCACACTCCCCACACTGGTAGGGCCGTTCCCTGGCGTGTAGGCGCTGGTGGGTGAGGAGGTTGGAGGAGTCACTGAAGCTTTTCCCACATTCCTTGCACTTGTAGGGCCGTTCCCCTGTGTGAATTACCTGATGGCGAATCAGACAGGAGCTCCAGCTGAAGCTCTTCCCACATTCCAAGCACTTGTGGGGCTTCTCCCCCACATGAGGCTTCTCCACCAGCTCTGGCTGAAGCTCTGGCCGCCTTCCCAGCACAGGAAGGGTCTTTCCTCCTGGCAGCACCCTGGGCTGGGTTTGCAGCCCCTCCTTGTGAGGGATCTATGGGTTTTTTCCTCCCCATTGGATTCCTGCATCTTGGAGCCGCTCAGAACAGTCTCTTCCACAATGTTCTGCCAGCGGGATTTCTCCTCCTTGATCTCTGTCTACAGCTCATTGCCGGGGGGAGGAAGGACAAGGAGAGGATGGGATTTGCTTCTGTGCCAGAAGGAAGGGGAAAGACATCCCCCCAGTCCATTCCTGGCAGGACAGTGATGGCAGAGGGGTTGTCCTGCAGCTGGGGGCCATGCTGGACTGGAGGATGGAACAGGAGAGAGGGGGAAAGGGGCAGTGACTTTCTCCTCACCTGCCTCAGCAACCCAGGGCATCTCCCTCTTCACCGAAGCCTCGTCCTCCATTCAGCCAAGCCTTAGGAATGACAAATCCTGGTTTTGGGGGAAAACAACGTGTGAGCACGCTGGGTTGGAGGTTCCTCCTGCCCAAGTCCATTTCTAGAATTCAGGCATCTTGTGTCCATGAAAACCTCCAAAACACCGTGATGCAGAAAAAACCCCTCCAAAATATTAAGATCCAGCAAAGGAGCCCCCCCCAAGATTCCCCCCTCTCTGGTCTCTGCCTTTTGGGGTTCTGGAGGTCTTCTGTCTCCTGGGTTGCTTCTGTCTCTGTCAACTTAGGGCTGCTGGAAGTTTTAGAGGTCCTAGGGGACCCTTCTCTGCTGAGTCTCTGTTTCGGCTGCTGGGGGTCCCAGGGTTCCCTCTCTTCCGGCTCGCCCCACTCCAGGATCCTGGGTATGTCCCCCCTCCCAGTTCCCCGTTTCAGGGTCGAGTGGATCCTGCCCTCCCCATTTACTCTATGCTTCCTCCTTTCCAGTCTGCCAGGGGTATTCCAAACCTCCGATCTCCCACGCCAGAGGTAGCCAGAACCGGTGTCCCCTACCCCCGCCGGGCGATCTCCATGCAGAATCCGGGACCCCGCATCCACCTCGCCGTAGCATGGGCTCTGCCGACAAGCACGGCCGGGATCCCCCCGAAAAAAACCACCTCCAGGGGACGCCCAAGATATCTGGGGCAAGTTCCTCCTCCCCGGTCACCTGTGGGATGCGGCGGGGCAAAAGCTCCGCGGGCCGGGAGGGCTGCGGACACAGGGCACGGTGGACCCGCGAATTTCCTCCTCTTCCTCTTTCTTCTTCTTTTTCTTCTTCGCCCCTGTGGAAAATCAGACGGCTACAGAAGCCGAGCCGGGTAGCGCCGCAGACCTACCTGGCCCTGGTACAGTGGAAGCCGGGGGAGAGATAAACTCAAGGCAAGAACAAAAATCAAGACTCCTCTTCCTCGTCCTCTTCCTGCTTCTCCTCCTTTTCCGGCTCCTGCTCCTCCTCTTCCTCTATCCTTCCTCTGCCGTCAGCTCCCCCCGCTCCCGCCCCATCGGTCCGGCTGCGGGCGAGCGGCTCTCGAGTGACGGGAGCGGGTACGATGGGAACGGGGGAAGAAGGGAGAAGGCGCGGGGGGAATCCCAAACGGAGCGGAAGAGGAGGTGGGGCAGCCCCAAACCGAGATGGGGGGAGCTGGGATCCGGGAGGACCGTGGGAAAGGAGTGGGAGAAGAAAGGGGGAGGGAGGTGGCACAGCGGGAAAGTGGTTCCCAAAGGGCGGGCCTTCCTATGTCCCTTATGTAATCCTGGGGGGGTTCCTTGCGGCTCACTGGGGGCTCATGGGGGGGGTCCCCCCCCATCCAGCAGCCGATGCTGCGGTGCACGTGGAGCAGAGGGGAGTGGGAAAGGGGGGTCCGGCATGGCCGCCTTAGCTGCCAAGCGGCTGTGGGGTGCTGGAAGTCGCTGTAGCGGGGGGCTGGCGGGGAGCACGCCATGGCCCGTGTCCCTGTCCGCAGAGGGGTGTTCCAGTTGACGGGAAAGGCCAAGTGTCACTTCCATAAGGGCATTGCGGAGTGAAGTTGGTGGACAGGAACAGCTCGGGCAGTCGGTTGGGAAGCCGTTCTGCATCATCCTACGGTGATTCTCGTCTGCCTCTCACCCAGCTCCGGGCTCTGGCAATTCTCTCCTTCCGTCTGCATTCATCACCCACCGACACACGGGGAATAGCCTTACAAGTGTGGGGAATGTGGGAAGAGGGTTCAGAGCATCTCGGATCTCATGAAACATCAGTGGACACACTCGGGAAGATCTCTCCCCAGCCCCTGCTCCTGTCAGGTCACGCCATGATCTGAGAAATACTTGTTTAGGCCTCGGCGTTGACAAACAGTTCCTGGGCTCAACTCCTCTTGAATTTATCACAAACATTGTCTGTTCCAGGAACTGGTTCTGTCCAACCAGCTCCAACAGAAAGTTTCTGAACTGGGGCCAGGATGGAAGCTGCCTGTGACTAAAGCCCATCACTTGGGCCCTATAAACAGCAGCCCTGAGTGAGACCCTTGGAACTCTCCTGGGACACAGCAGCTGTGACAGTGACATCCCTGTGCTGGGGCCTCTGCAAGTTCCCTGTGCCGGGAACTCTCCCATTTGCTGCACTCGGGGCATCCCTGAACAATGAGGGGTCCAGGGCTGAGCCCCCCCACTCCTCGAGGCTCTGCCCTGCGCCTGGTGGGAAGATGCAAAGGCATCCAAAGGGAGAATTCCACTGGATTCCGGGGGAGTTTCCCACAGGGACCTCGTACAGACTCCTGTCCATGTGTGCATGTGACAGTGAATATGCCGTAGCAAATATCCTGGGAATGCTGCACTCCTGGAGTCGGAAGTACTTTAGATTTGTGAGTCAGTCAGGCCTGTGGGTATGTTCCTGTTGTGGTGTAATAAATTCTATGTGAAGTTACAGACTAAGTTTCAGTTAAGTGCTGTTAAGTTTAAGTGCTATGGGCCTTTAAGCATAAACTGTTGATCAAATCCAGGCTCAGTTCTGCACAGGGGTCTACTCTGACTCTTGTTGACTCAACCAGTCTGGTCTTCCATATTCCTTTTACCCTTTTCTGTTTTTTTTTTCCCTCACCCCTCCCTCCCCTAGAGCCTCCTCAGCTACCACATAAATAGTTTTGGGTTTATTTCAGTTTGGATTGATTGATTTTGGATTTTTGTTTCCTTTTCCTTAGTGTGCTTTAGCTAACCAGTAATCTCCTCCTCTATCCCTTCTCCTCCTCTTCCATCCCTTCTTCTCTTTCCCCCAGGACCAGCACCCGGTCTCCTGTGCCTCCCAAACCTATTGCACCCCACAGGAGGAGCCCGGATGGAGCTGGGGCAGGTCGAGCTGGGGCACGGCTGGGCTCTTGGCTGCTCCTGCCCACACTCCGCCCCCACCACAGCTGCCACCGCCAGGACAGTGCAGGGGAACCAGGCTGGGTGCCCTCCATCTTCCCCCTCCCCAAATTCCCCTCCTGGAGGGCACTGGAGGTGAGGGGCGTGCAGGTGGGGTCCACGTGGGGAATGTTGGGCACTGTGGGTCTGCCTGGACACTGATGAGTCATGGCCAAACCCCTGCAGAACTGGGGGATACCTCACAACCTCTTCAGGAACGGGATCCCCCGGGCCTCATCATCCCCAACCTTCAGCTGTCTCATTTCAGACCCCATCCCACCTCTCCCAATCCCCATTTTACCCCTCCCAAATCACATTCCACCTCTTCCAAACCCTATCTCAACCCTCCCAATCCCTTATCCCATCTTTCCCAGTCCATATCCCACCCCTCCTGATTCATATCCCACCCCTCCCTATCCCCTTCCTTCCTCTCCAGGGTTTGGAGTGCTGTGGGATTGCATACTTTTGGGGTGGTATTGAGTCATTTAGAGGTGGGATCCAGCCATTTTGGGCTTTCAGTGGCATTGTGTGGTTTTGAGGTGATGGATAGAACCCCTCACCTCTTGGGGTACAAAGCAATGGAAGAAACTCCTCCAAATTCCCTCAAAAACCCCAAAACCTCCTGAATATCCCTCAGACTACAAATTCCCCCCCCCACCCCCAGTCCGTGTAAAATGGTGAGGATTTACACATCTGTGATTAGGTTCTTTATTTTTACCCAATTTTGGATATTTTTAAAGGATGGATCACAAGAAAATGAAGGCTAAAATGAAAGCATTTATGTGTCAGCACTGATTGAGTATCCAGGGGGTTGGGTTGGGTGGGTGAAAAAGCCTGCTTTGGAGGGGTTCCCACAAAATTTTCTCCGAAGTCTTGGTCTCTACTAGTGCTGGGTCACCATGTACTTGACCAACGTGGATCACCAGGTCCCTTCCTAACATGGTCACCATAGATAAAACAGTGTGGGTCCTCTAATGGGTGAAGAAGTTGGAGCAGCGGACAAAGCTCTTCCTGCAGGCAGGGCACTCGCAGGGCTTCCCTTACCAGTGGGACTGTTGGTGTTGGGTCAAGGCAGAGCTGCAGGAGAAGCTCCTCCCACACTTGGGACACTCTTAGAGCTCCTCCTGGTGTGGATGTTCTGATGGCAGATCAGGTTAGAGCAGTCACTAAACTTCTTTTTACATTCCCTACACGTGTAAGGCTGTTCCCCAGTGTGGGTGTTCTGGTGGAGGACCAGGCAGGCACTTCACCTGAAGCTCTTCCTGAATTCCAAGCACACGGAGGGCTGTTCTCTAGCGTGGACCTTCTGGCGGTGGATCAGATGGGAGCAGAGGCTAAAGCTCCTTCTGCATTTCCAAGAACCGGTAGGGCCATTCCCCAGTGTGGATCTTCTGGTAGCAGTTCAGGTTGGAGCTCTGGCTGAAGCTCATCCCACATTCCTCACACTTAAAGGACGGTTTCCCGGTGTGTACCCACTGGTGGATGAGGAGGTCGGAGCTGTTGCTAAAATTCCAAGAACTTGTAGGACATCTCTCCATCCTGAAGCTGCTGGTCAAGCACCAGAGCAGAGCTTGGCTGCCTTCCCAAAACAGGATGTGTCTTTCCTCCTCATAGTACCATGGGCTGGGTTCACAGGCCCTCCTCCTGCGGGATCTCTGGGGCTTTTCCTCCCTGTTGACTTCATGTGCCTTGGAGCACTCAAAACAGCCTCTTCCACGAGGTTCTGCTGGGGGGGATTTGTCCTCCCTGATCTCCATCCACAGCTCAGTGCCTGGGGGAGGAAGGAACAAGCAGAAGGGAGAGGGAATGTAAAGGACAAAGAGGCAGAAGAAGGAAGAAGGCAAGGAAGGAGATTTGCCTCCATGCCAAAAGGAAGAGGAAGGACATCCCCCCAGTCCGTCCCTGGCGGGACAGCGTCAGCAGCAGGATTGCCCTGCAACCAGAGGCGATGCTGGACTGGAAGATAGAGCAGAAGAGAGGGGGAAAAGTGCAGTTGACTTCCTCCTCACCTGCCTGAGTATCCTGGACTATCTTCCCCGCAGCCTTCTCCTCCATCCAGCCAAGGCTTGGGAATGACAAATTCTGTTTTGGGTGATAAAATCAAGGTGTGAGCATGTTGGGTTGGGGGTTCCTCCTACCCAAGTCCATCTCTAGAAGTCACTGGTCATCTTGTATATCTAAAAGCCTCAGAAACATGAAGATTCAGCACCAAAAACCCTCTCCCTTTCTAGTTGCCCCTTTCTGGGGTTCCGGGGGTGCCCCTTTTCTGGGCTGCTGGAGGGTCCCGTGGTTGCTGGGCTTCCCACCCTCTTGAGTGCTATTTAGAGATGTTTGAGACATCCCAGGGGTCCTTTCTCCCCTAACTCTCTACTTAGGCATATCTGGGGTCCCAGGGGTCCTCCGATAGGAAAATTTGGTCTTAATGTCTTCACAAAAGACTGGGTCTGAAAGAACCGATAAGGTTCTGAAAGAAGGTGTGTAGGGGTCTTCATGAACATCAAGCTGTATGAGTTTGTTGCAGAACCCAGACAGTTTGAAGATCCGAACTTTAACGGAATATGCAGTAGTTGTTTGGGGCAGGCTGTACCTCAGGCAATGGGGAAACAAAGAGGGCAATATGTGGCCAAAAGTTTAGGATAAAATCCGAACTTTAACGGAATATGCAGTAGTTGTTTGGGGCAGGCTGTACCTCAGGCAATGGGGAAACAAAGAGGGCAATATGTGGCCAAAAGTTTAGGATAAAATCCGAACTTTAACGGAATATGCAGTAGTTGTTTGGGGCAGGCTGTACCTCAGGCAATGGGGAAACAAAGAGGGCAATATGTGGCCAAAAGTTTAGGATAAAAGGAGGCTGCAACCTCCAAAAAGTTAGGAAAGTCCCCATGGGGGTACGCCCTAGTGGACTCTCTCCCTTTGTTCGAATAAGGTTGCAGAGCTCCTCTGTCTCCTTTGTGAACACTGGCTCTTCATAGGGTGATTTTTCCACACACCCGTTTCCAGGCTCCCCCTTTCCAGGCTGCCAGGGGTTCCGACTCCTCCCTTACCCCTCTGTTCTCCCCTCTCCGCTCCAGACTGCCGGGGGTTCTGCCTCCTCCATGCCCCCATTTCACTCTCGGGGTTCTCCTCCTCGGCTCTCCCAGAACGCGGCGTCGCCCGCATTGCCGGTACCGGGCGATCGCCGCACGGCTCCGGAACCCCGCATTCCCCCGCCCACCGCCGGGGCTCTGCCGGTAGCCGCCACCGGGACACCTCAAAAAAACCCCGTCTCCAGGAGATGCACCGAGACATTGAGGACGAGCTTACCTGCGGAACGCTGGGGGTAAGGAGACGATGCTCCCGAGAGCGGTACAGTGAGCGGTAGACTCCAGAGCTTTCTCTTGCTCCTTTTTCATCCCTCCTCTTACTTCCTGCTCCTCCTGGTCTTGCTCCTGCTCCTCCTCTTCCTTCTCCGTGGCTACCCTTTCTACCCCTCTGCACCACGGACACCCTAACCCCACGACAGCACCGGCTACGGAATGGGGTAAACCCCCACCCGCCATTACCTCCACAGGAATGGACGGGAGCTTGGAGACCCCTCCAGTGTGGATCCGCCTCCCTCCCCTCGAGCCCCAAGGAACAGCTCCGAGGCTCAAGTGATGGAAGACAGGCGGGGATCCCCATAGAAACCTCTTCCCGCTGTCCCACCTCCCCTTATCCCCCCCGTCCCACCCTTGCCCGTCGTCCCTCCAAATTCCAGCTACCCCCCACCACCGCTTTAGGGGTGGTCGACCTCAAGTCTGCCTCCGAATGGGGGTCTCACCCATCTCACACCCCGTATTCCAACGCTTCTCCCGTTTTTCCACCGCTACCCCTTCCCTCCCGCCGTACTCCGCGCCTGCAGCAAGGGGGAGTCCCAGCACCACCAGTAGCACCAGTAGGGCCCCAGCTCCCCCGACACGCCCCATGCCCAGCGCCGGGCGGTGCCGCCAGCCCCAAAGCAGCCGTGCTGTGCCCTGGGGGGGTCCCCAAAGCGGCCCCGCCCCACGCGGCACTGGGAGCACCAGTCCGGACCAGTTCGAAGGGTGGGCGGCATCAACAGTGCCCGGGCAGGACCGGGCCCCGCGGGGACAGCGCGGGGGGGCCCGGCCTGGGAGCCTCCACCTGCCCCCTCCGCAAACTCCCCTCCTAGGGGAAGCCCCCAAGACCTGTTTATTATCTCCAAAATTCGTGGAAAGCAACAAAATCCTCCCCAAAACGGGCTCTCCAAGGGGCCCCACTCCAAGTATCAGAACCATATGTTCAGTTCTGGAACCGAGTATACTCAAGAATCCACTCAGGACTGGAGGATACCCCAAAACCACCTACTATTTGGGAGTTATTCTGAAAGCCCTCAGGAACAAGATCTCACCCCACCCAATAAAAAATATATCTGTGTTTTATATGCTGTGTTCAGCACAAATCCAAACACAGCCCCACACCAGCCCCTGCAAAGAAAGCCAACTCTACCCCAGGCAGAAGCAGCACAATGGGTCACCAGGTCTCCACCAAATATAGCTCGCCCAGACGTGGGTCACCAGCTCTCTGCCCAACATGAGTCACCAGTGCAAGGACTTGAGGAGCAGAGTTGCCCATCTCAAACACTGTCAAGGCCACAGAAGGACTTTGCCGTGAGATAAGCGCAGAAGGGAGTAACAGGAAGGTGCTGACTCCATGCCTGGCAGAGGTGAGGTCTGGGTGGCACTTGCTGGGAAATGCATGCTCACAAAAACTCCCATTGTGGCAAAGTGTGTTAAGAAGCAACTGCTCATAGGCACATCACCAGTCAAACAAAGCTCACCCCAAGTTATAGACACACTGGCAGCTGCCATCATCAATGACCACTGAATCTTCCCTTCCCCCTCCCCTCCTGCCCTCCCCCTCCTTCTCCCCAGATATTCTGATATTCCTCAGTGGATACCTGGCACTTGGACTTAAGGTAAGATCAAGGTGGGACAATTGTCCGGGTGTTATCTCGGGCCTGGGGGGAGGTTAACAAAGATGGGGAAGGAGAATGGATCACTGAGAATGGACACAAAGAATGCAGAATTTATGGGCCACGAGGATAGCCCAATCCAGCAACTGCATGAAATCAGCTCTGACTGAGTCAAAGGAATTCTGGCGGGGCAGACAGTGACCACTGACTCAGCCGCTAACCCCAGAAATCACCAATTGCAAAGAAAAGAAACTCTGCGCTAGTACTAATTACCATTAGAGAGATATGTAGAGAAAAAGAAAAAGCCGATGAAAAGTCTTCAGTGAGCTTGGAACACCCACCCATCGAGAAGGCCAGCCTGAAGAAGGGCCACTGGATCCACAGATGCTGATGATCTCCTACTGGATCTCGTCCTGCCTACCTCTTTCTCCTCTCCTTTCTCTTTCTTTCTATCTTTCTACCTCACGTTTTATTGCTAAATATAATCTGTATTATTGATTTCACCATATCATGGTGTTTGCACCTTAATTCGAGCAGAGGTATCTATCATTAATCAGATCGGAAGAGGACTGAGCCTTTTTGAGGCAGAATTAAGCCATTTTCAGGGAGATTGTGTAGTCGGGGAAAGGGGTTTTTACCCTTTAAGTGCGGTGGAAATAAGATGCACAGTTACATGGTCCTCTTTCATGACAGAAAGAAAAAGACAAGTTTATTCAGAAACACACTGGGTTTTATAGCATGACTCACAATTCCAAGAGTAGAGAAGATGTGATTGGTTCAGAGAGAAGGCACCTCATTCCCAGGGCCTGGTCACATACCACAACAGGTGTTCTATCTTTGTTATTAATTTCTTTTTATTTTGACCAAGATATCACCCTGGGAGAAATTCTCCCTAGCCTACAGCTGGACCAGTTTATCGCATGGGAATAGAGTTGAAAAGCTCCAGCCTGGAATATTTTTCAGGCTGTAATTTTCTTGCTTTCTCAATATGTGTCCCTACAAGGTTGAGTAATTCAGAGGCAACAAATTAACCCTCTTGCTTTTGGGTTACAAAGGAACGGAGGAAACTCCTTCATTTTTCCCCAGAACCTCTAAATCTTCCTGAATATTCCCCTGAACGCCAAATACCCCCCAAATCCTAGTAAAAAGATGGGGGTTTCACACATCTTTGTTCAATGTCTGTATTTTTACCCCAACCCCAGGTGTTTTTAAGGGAGGAACAGGAATCGATGTTGGCATCATGTCAGTATCCATTGGATTTAGTTGGTGGGTGGAAGAGCCTTTTTTGGAGAGGCTTTCAACCCATTGTCTCCAAAATCTACGTCTTTGCCCAATCCATCACTATTTGGCTGTGTAAAATGCCTGTGGGCCATGAAGAATTAGAATAATGGAATTATTTAGGTTGGACAAGACCTCGAAGATCACCCAGTGTTGCTTGGTGCCACCAGAGAGAATGACTGGATGGAGCAGCTAGGATTATTTTGGGGTTGAAAGTCAACAAATCTGCTCTTCCCAAAGAACTTCCAACATCAGTCTGAATCTTGATGGATGTTCCTCCCCTTGTGTTCATTCAGTTGCATGTAGGGAACCAAGAGGATGTGGAGACCACCAGCCAGGTGTCTTCACAACATCGATAACTAAAAATGCTCCTCAACAGGTCTTTAGTCAACATGAATCACAAGGCCTCTATCCAGCATGTATCACCTGGAACATTGGTCACCAGGTCTCTACAAAACATGCATCACAGTAGATAATCCAACACGGATTATCCAATGGGTCACAAAGCTGAGCAGTGGACAAAGCTCATACCGCAGTGGAGCACTTGTGATGCTTTCCTAACCAGAGGGCCCATTGGTGTTTCATCAAGGCAAAGCTCTAGAAACACTTCCCAAACTCAGGGCACTTGTGGACACCTCCTTGGTGTCAGCGTTCTGGTGGTGGACCAGATGGTAGATCTGGCTGAAGCTCTTCCCACATTCCAAGTACTTGCAGGGCTTCTCCCCTGAATGAAGCCACTCGTGGACCACCAGGTCAGACCTCTGAATGAAGCTCCAGCCACCTTCCTGGCACAGGGTGGGTCTTGCCTCCTTGGAGCAGGTTTGGAGCCCCTCCACAGGGATATCTGTGGGTTTTCCTTCCCACCGACTCTGCACTATGGAGCTGCTCAAAAAGGCCTCTTCCATGAGGTTCCGCGGGGGGAATTTGTCTGCTGTGATCTCTGTGTGCAGCTTATTGCCTGGGGTAGAAAGGGAGAGAAAGGAAGAAGGAGAGGAAGTGGATTTGCCTCTGGGCCAGAGATTAGGTCCCAAAGAAACCCCCAAAACACTCAGACACTGCCCCAAAACCATCAAGATTCAGTCAAGAAACCCTCCAAACTGTGAGGATTGAGCCCAGACAACCAAGATTCACGCCCAAAAGGCTCCAAAAGGACAAGATTCAGACAAAAAAATCTTCTCTTGGAATTCTGTCTCTCTGGTCTCTCCACTTCGGGGTTCTGCAGTTCCTCCCTCTCCAGGATGCTGAGGGTCTTTTGAGTGCAAGGGGTTCCTGCACTTTGGGCTCCTACTTAGAGATGCCAGGGGTTTTGAGGGTCCCAAGGCCTCCTTCCCCCCTGACTCTCTGCTTACGGGTCCCGGGGGTCCCCCCTCCCTGGTGCCATCCCCCCATCCCCAGGCTGCCAGGTGTCCCCCAGCTCTCGTACTGCCCCCCTCCCGTGTCCTCCCTCTGGCGGTCCTAGGATTCCCACGTACCCGGTTCTCTCGGAGGGTCCCCAAAACTGGTGTCCCCCCCACCCCCTGTACTGGGCTGACAATGGAGCCGGCAGTGCCTGAGCCCAGGAAGACCAAGTCCCAGTGCTACCAAAAATCGCGAAAAAAGAGGAAAGAAACTTCCTAACACCGATGTAGTATTAAGAAGCAGGCATTCTTTATTCAGCCGGATGCACGAGGGGATGCCTCATCTGAAATACCGTGCATGCTGAGTACACAAAAAGCTCCTGTTTAGATACTATATCATAAATATATGAATATGTGTATCATAGATACATATTCATAGTTTTCCCAGAAGAAACACACATACGATAGTAATCTCCCTGAAATCATTGACGTTTCTCCCCTCCCCTCTGCACCCCCTCTTCTGGCCTGGGGTCTCTTTGGCGGAGCGGTGGAACTGGGAGCTTCCTCCTCTTCCTTTTCCTGCTGCTCCTCTATCCCTCCTCTTTCTCCCGTTCCTCGTCCTCCTCGCCCTCGATCCTTCCGGCTGCGGGCGCGGAGCTGTTGGGTGAGCGGCTCAGGCGGGGGACGCGACGGGAAACGAGGGAAGAGCAGGGAAAAGAGCGGCTGGGATCCCCACACTAAGGGTGAGGGGGGCTGGGTCACCGGGGGGCGTTCTCGGAGGAAGAGGGGATTTTGACCAAACGTG